GTTTTATATGGCCAGTCCACCCAAAGTTGATATTTTGTTATAGGTGGTGTCTGGTGGGCTGAAATGTCCCAATGACCTCTTATATATGTTGCAGTACTCATCTGTAATATCTTCCTGCCATAGTTCCTTGCTCTGTTCCCCACCATTGGAGTGGATTTACTAAAGGCAAATAGACTGTTGCAAGTGCTGTTGCTCCAGAGCTTAGTAATTAAGGGGAAGCTCTGCTGACTTCCATCATCCAATCATGTGCAAGTCAACATTTTTTTTTTATTTTCCTTGCATGTGATTAGGCATTCTTTTTAAAGTGAAGCTCCATCTCATTTACTAAACTCTGGAGCAACAGCCCTTGCAAAGAACAACTTCACTTAGAAAAGTGCACAGTTTATTTACTTTTAGTAAATCATCATCCCCATTGTCTGGTGTTTCCAATAATTATTTTGCATTCTTGCATGCTATACAATAAATTAAGAATCCAACAGAAAGACTTCTCTTGTAATGGCCACTGCTTATTAAATAAACTCCTTCTATTGGAAACCCTGAGTGACATAAGAAACTGTTAGGTGTTTCAACATTTTAACACATTTTGTTGCAGATTCCTACCTTTTGTTATTCTGACAAAGTAGCTGTTTGCTGTGTCCATGTGCCCAGTGAATCTGTATGGGAGTGATTCCATAATTATCTACCAGCTGCTGCACCTGCAGGGCTCTAATGAGGAAACTGCAGGGTCTGCATTTTAGACATGACCTTTAGCCTGGGTTTTCATATATGCAGTGCGGTATATCACATGTGATTTGCACAGGAACTGCACCGTATTCCTGTGCAAATCACATGTGATTTGTGTGCGGTGCAAATGGAGCCATGTATTTTGTATGGCTCTAATCGCACCGCACCAAAAACGTGCAGGACCCTTTTGTTGGGTCCACACTAGAATCGGATCGCATGGGTATTCACACCTATGCGATCCGATTCTGCATTTTTCAAACCGCTTTCGGGGTGCTGTAACTTAACATACACACCCGCAGCGGTTCACATGAAAGGGGTGTAATTCTGATGTGGTGTTTAATTCACACTGAAAACGCTGCGAATTCCACACAGCATCAGTGTGAACCTGGGCTAAGACATGATTTGCTTTGGGAGTGTCACACCAAAAATGACAGTGGATGCCAAAATCTGACTGGTATCTGCAGACTTCTGGGAAAATTAGTAAGCCAATAACACAAGCAGGAAATGCCATTTCTGGGGGCATTCTGTACACCATCTGCGTACAGAACACCATAAGGTTGTCATATTGCATTGAATTTACAGAAAATTACAGCACTGCATTTTTAAAAGAGAAGGTCCTTTTAAATAACATTCAATTACAATATGACTTGTGTTGCAGTTGTATATGCTATATTATTATTTTTTTTATTTGCTTTTCTCCAATGAAAGTGGAATTACCCTTTAAATCAGCTAAATACAATCCAGTAGATAAAGTTGTGCAAACTTACAGTTATTTTTTTTTAGGAAGCAGTCACAGCCTAGCTAAAAATGTTAAAAAGCCTGTTCCCTGCCGGAGAAGGACTGGTGCTCTTGGTGTGGAAGCAGTAGTCTCTTTGCAGAGATGCCAGAATGCTGCAGAGAATGGCCTGTGCTCCTGTGTTGAAGCAGTAGTGTCTCTACGTAGAGACTACTGCTTCCACACAAGGATTTTATATACCAAGACAGTTTACACCACACTTTTAATACTGTATATTCACATCAGTTCCTGCCCTTAAAGTGGTAGCAAAGTTAAAAAAAACTTAAAAAAAAAGTGTTCCCCCTGCAAGGTAAAGGCATAATGTGCTAATATGAATTGCAAACTAGCATATTATGAAAACATTACCCTGAAACAAAACCCTCCAGCAGCGAGCTGTCACCATTGCAGGGGCTTCCATCTTCAACTGGTCTTCCTTCCAGGTCTCCAGGCAGCTTGAATGGCCGAGCTGAGATGACATCACTCCTGTGCATGTGCTCAGGAGTCACGGCCATGACACAGAGCCCTGAATTAAAGGCACGGGTATGCCGTTACTTCAGTGTGCATGCGCCAGTAATATCAACAGCTGCCGCTCACTAAAATATCTCCTAAACAGTGCACGTTTAGGAGATTTCATTTTACCTACAGGTTAGCTTTATTATAAGTTTACCTGTAGGGAAAAATATAAAATTGAGTTTACTACCACTTTAAGGAGCTTACAAACTAAGATCCCCATCACACATGCACACATACTAGGGCCAATTTAGACCAGAGCCAATTTACCTGCCAGCATGTTTTTGGGATGTGGGAGAAAACCAATGTGCCCGGAGAGAAAACCAATGTGCCCAGAGAAAACACATTGTATACACAGGGAAACACCATGCAGATAATGTCCTGCCTGTGATTTGAACAAAAGACCTTTGAGACAGACGAGCTAAGCACTAAGCTGCTGTGTTGCGTATATTTCATGCTCCTTGGTGATTGGAGAGCACTAGCTCTGAGTCTGACTCAGCAGGTACTATGTAGACTATGCATAGAGACCCCTGCTACACAGAGTTTTCTTCTCTGCAGCATTCACTCAGGCTGTAGTTGTTTTCCAAAGAAAGTAAACTGAAAGACTTTGCATACCTTTGTTTTGTTGATGCACCTGAGATTTATTTCCATGATTAAATCTGAAAGTTCATTTGGGCTTTTAACATCAGTCTTGAGTGAACTGACACTTTAAACCTATTCAAAATTGGCCTTAGTCAGTAAAGTAGCTGAAAGAGCAATGGGATTATTTAAAAGATAGTAAAGCTAAGAATGAATTCACATTTCAATTTACTTAAAGTGATCCAGAGGTCTCTTAAAAGCTCCAAACATTTGGCAGCTTTATAGATATGTGATTATATGTGTGTGCAATTTTAGCTGCCTGATTTACATGTCTGCCTTAGGTTGAGGAGGCTGAGGGTTTTGCTCAAAACAGTGAAAAATGACTTCTAGTTGCTTGTTTTTTGGGTTACTACTATTTGAAAACGAATCTGTGCCTTATTAGATAAAATCAATATAGTGTGTACATGTGTGTATGGCTTTAAAGCATGTGTCAAGGAAATATAGCAAAGCAAAATATGCAGTAAATCTCGGCAACAAATAAACATTTCCCTGTATTTTATTTTTTTTATTTAATTCTTCAAGTGTAAAAAATACCTATCAACCTGCCCTTATGTGGGCTGCCAACACAGCATTTTTGTGGAATGAGTGGTGTCAGCCCTGCCAAGCAGTCATTAGCTAAACTTATTAATCCCTCTCTCTCTCCCGTCACTATAACACATAGCTACATAGTTAGTCTGGATGAAAAAAGGACTAATGTCCATCTACTTCAACTATTAAAAGGGAAAAAAATATAATCCTTTATATACAGTCCTATACCCACAGTTGATCCAGAGGAAGGCAACAAACCCCAAAAAAGCATAACCAAATTTGCTCCTGCAGGGAAAACATTTCTTCCTGATCCCCCTGGAGGCAATCAGATACTCCCTGGATCAAGTGTACCTATAAATGTTAGTATCCAGTTATATTATGTGTATCTAGGAAAGTATACAGGCCTTTTTTTTAAAACAATCTGCTAAGCCTGGCAGAACCAGCTGTTGAGGGAGTCTATTCCACATTTTCCACCTGTCCTGATCAGCTCTTGAAAGCTGTATACTAACGATTAGATTATCGTAAGATCGCTTCGAAAGCAGTATTTTTTGTGCAATTTTCTGATCATATGATGTGTGTTCAGGCCTTAAGGAGGAAGTGCACTAATCCGTAGAAATCAATCAGAATTTACTTTGCAGAAGTTACACCAGCACAGATAGGTTGCTGAGGGTGCTACAGTGTGCTGTTTATGGAAAAGACCTATATTTGAGAAAAAAACAGCTTGGACATCTTTTACCTGCTCCCAATATACATTCAGGTAGTCCATTGTCTTGAAGAATGTGATGTGAGGTGAAGATGACTGGTGTAAATGAATGTACTCTGAATGAGCTGGTTTCTTCTTCTCAATCTTAAAAGGAAGAAGTGTAATCTTCTTCCAGTAGCACAAGTGCTTTTCCCTTTTCACACCTCGGACTTGCCTGGTACATACTCCAGAGGTGTTAAGAGCAATGCTACACAATGTTATCATATCACTCAAAGTCCTTAAAAGATAGCTGGTGGAGGCAACCTCTAAAAACCTGGCACAGGCCCTTATATTTTTTTGGAAGCTTACATATTTGCTTCTCTTTACTGTACTTTATATAGAATTCTGGGATAGAACCTAAAATCTAAACTTAAAATTGCTCCCTCACCCTTCTAACACCTATACTAACTACCCTGTGTAAGGAAGATGCTTTATACTTACCTATTCTCAGGCCTCTCCGGTCTGGTCATCTGATTAGCTCTCCTGTGTCAGCTAGCAGCAGCTTCATCGGAGAAGTGGGACGCCAATGGATGACCCATAGCCACCACTCAGGCATTCCAGTTGTCAGAGGTCTCTCTGCTCTCCCCTGTATCCAGCATTGGCTGACACAGGGAAAATCACATGACCGGACTGGAACTGAATATAGGTAAGTATATAGATCTTTCTTCCTAGTATATGCGTTAGAAGGGGAGTACAAGCAGTTTTAAGATTAAATAATTGTATCCCAGAATTTCACTTTAATGATTTTGTGGGGCTCTGGGAGTTTAAATAGGTAAAGTGTATTTATGGTCAAAATGCAAAATCCTATATTTATTTCCACATTGTATTTCAACTATTTCTAGCATACTGGTATTAAAATTAATGATCCAGAAGTTTGTAAACCTTGTGTGGGAGTAGCTCAGGTGGGGGATCACCTTCCCTGGGAAAAAGGTAGACCACACAGAAGGCTTTCTTTAACCACCTTCCGCCCGCCATATAGTACAATGACGGGTGCAAGGTGGTTCTCTCGTTCTGATAGGACGTCATATGACGTCCTTCTATTCTCACCGTGCATGTGCGGCTCAGGGAGCAAGCAGCACGGCGATCACCAGTGCGCTGTGTCCCTCTGACACAGCGGATCATGGAAAGAGCCGAAGATGTCGGCTCGGTCATGTGATCAGCTGTGTCCAATCACAGCTGATCACATGTAAACATGGAAATGTCGGTCATCGGCATTTCTCTCCTCTCGAGCTGTCACGCCGATAGCTCGAGAGGAGAGGAGAGAGCCGGTAATCGGCTTTCCGCGGAGGGGAAATGTACACTGATCATCAGGGCACTGATAATCAGTGTGCCCTGATGATCAGCGTGGCCCCAGAAATGCCACCTGTCAGTGTCCATCAGTGCCAGCAGCCAGTGCCCATCAGTGCCACATCAATGCCACATATCAGTGCCTACCAGTGCACATCAATGCCACATATCAGTGCCCATCTGAGCTGCCTTTCAATGTCACCCATCAGTGCCAGTCAGTGCCACCTATCAATGCCAACCAGTGCCACCTATCAGTGCTGCCAATCAGTGCCACATATCAGTGCACATCAGTGCCGCCTATCAGTGCGCATCAGTGCCGCCTATCAGTGCCAGTCAGTGCCGCCTAACAGTGCCAGTCAGTGCCGCCTATCAGTGTCGCCTATCAGTGCCATATACCAATGTCATGTATCAGTGCTGCCTTTCAGTGCCCATCAGTGATGCCTGTCAATGCCCATCAGTGCAACCTACCAGTGCCTCCTCATCAGTGTCCATCAGTGCCACCTATCAGTGCAGCCTATCAGTGCCCATCACTGCAGCCTCATTAGCGCACATCAGTGAAGGAGAAAAATCACTTATTTACAAAATTGTATAACAAAAGCTAAAAAAAACTTTTTTTTTTCAAAATTTTTAGTGGTTTTTGGTTTGTTTAAGAAAAAATAAAAATCCCAGAGGTGATTAAATACCACCAAAAGAAAGCTCTGTCTAAAAAAAATGATAAAAATTTCATATGGGTACAGTGTTGCATGACCGTGCAATTGTCATTCAAAATGTGACAGCGCTGAAAGCTGAAAATTGGCCTGGACAGGAAGGGGGTATAAGTGCCGTGTAGGCTAGAGGTTAAAATCTGACTGGTCTTCAGTTTTTATTCAAAGGTTTGCAAAACGTCAAAACAAACAAAACAAAAATAAACCCTTGCCATCCAGGCACTAACTAAACATAGAAGTTTTCCTGTCTCACTGGTGAAGGGCTTCTCCCTGTCACAAGAAAACAAAACAATACGCAAACCTTTTCTGTTTGTGTAGCACACACTTTCATGCACAGCTCTCTCAGGAATGGCTCTCTGAGTCCCAGGCCAGGAGCAGCTCCTTGCTCCAGCCCTGTCTTATTTATACCACCTGTTGCTGGTCATCAGTGGACCACAAAATCAGGTCCGGAACCACAAAATCAGGTTCCGGAACCACCTCTGCCATAGTGGCCCAGAAAACTCAGAGTGGATTTCACCTTAAACTCCCAAGTATGACCGAATGTGAGGTGACACATAGCGTCCCTCGATCACCTCGCCGTTCATACTGTCACACTTGTTAAAATTTTAAAAATGTGCACAGTCTCCATGCAGCTGGTGTCAGAATTCTCTCTCACTCCTAGCTGGTAGCACCTATGTGATTCACAAAATTAACAAAATAACATTAAAATAATCTGCAACACGTATTATTAATATTTATTATAATACAGGATTTACATAGCACCAACAGATTACACAGCACTTTACAATATAAAGAGGGACAGTACAATTACAATACATTTCAATACAGAAGGAATAGGAGGACCCTGCTAATGGGAAGGTGGTACAAAAGGTAGTAGTTGCAGGGGATGATCAAATCCAGTTTTAGGTGGAGGTGGGGTAGGTTTCCCTGAATGAATGGATTTTCAAGGATCGCCTTAAGATGGACAGGGTAAGAGCTGAATGGACATACTGGGGCAGGGAGTTCCAGAGCATGGGAGAAGTCCTGGAGGCGAGCGTGGGAGGAGGTAATAAGGGAACTGGAGAGCAGGAGGTCATGGGAGGAGCAGAAAGGACAGTTTGGCCTATATCTGCAGATGAGGTTGGTGATGTAGCTGGGGGTGATATTGTGGATGGCTTTGTATGTTGTGGTTAGTATTTTGAATTTTATACTTTGGGCTAGTGGACAGTGGTGTATTTAGGTTTTGTGCTGCCCCAGGCAACACAAACATTGTCTGCCACCACGGACATCAACCAACACCCCCCCCCTTCCCCCTCCCATGGAGAGAGCCTGTCATTGTGTCATTGACCAGCACCCCTGCCCCCCACCTGGGACAGTCTTCCAGTAACCCCCACTCCAGTGATAGAGAGAAAGACATTCATCTTCACAGCTCTGGACATCCCTGGGAACGTAAGTCAGGCTCTACATACACCATTAAGTAGCCCGCAGCCTCTCTCGGATCCCACCTGGTTCTCATGGCGTGCATGTCCCTTCTTTCATCCCTTCTTCTGGGGAGAGAGGTGCTGCCCCCCTGAAAAATGCCACCCTAGGCAATTGCCTTATATGCCTTGTGGTAAATATGCCCCTGCTAGTGGAAACCAGTGAAGAGATTGGCAGAGAGGGGCAGCAATCACGGATCGGTTAGTAAGGTGTATTAGTCTACTTATCTACTATAAATTAAATACTAAACCATTTATTACATTATTTGTGGAAAAAATGTGGTATATTGTATCATACAAAATACACAGACCAATTCCAAGCCCTGGTTCACATATATGCATTCTGAAATTGCTATGGTAGTGTGATTATACCCTGCAAATAACTTGCAGTTTGTTTGAATACCTATGTGTTTTTTATGCGACTTTGCAAGTCCTCCATTTTTGGATCTGATAGATTCACTACCCATTGAACTCCATATATATCAAAATCGCATTGTAGCCTCTCAAAAACACACATGACTCTTTTCCAAAATTGCAGTGCAGATCACCTGCATATATTTAAACACCTGTCATAGAAACTCACTTTATTCCACCTGTCAACAGATTCCTGCTCCCAAAAACACATTAAAAATGCATACATGTGAGCGGGGGCCCAGGTAAAAAAACATTTCTCAAAACCTCCTAATAATCACAAATGAGTAAACTTAAAAGAGAAGTATGAGCTTTAAAGAAAAAAACATTTATCCATCTATCCATATTCATCAATCCAATGCTGCATCTGTCCCCCACCAGTACTGAGAACTGAGTGATCAAACACTGCTGATCGTTCAGTTCTCCCCTCCGCTCTAAGCAGAGAGTGTTGACTGTCAGTCTCCGGCTCTTTGCTCTGCCCCTCCAGTACTCACTGGGCTGTGAAGGGGATGGGAGGGGCTGGCTCAGTTTCTTGGCAGATCACTGAGAGGCTGAGTCAGCTGCCAGTTCAGGCTTCTGGGTGGATGGTATATCCCATGGGAGGGATCTTTTCAGAGCCTGGACCGGCTCTATGACATCAGCTGACAGCAGGCTTCAGCCCACTGTTGAGTGAAAACAGGTCACAGGAGTGCAGAACTAACTGCACTCCTGTGAGCCATAGGAGAAGTATAGCCAAAGAAGCTTTGGCTATACTTTTCCTTTAAGACATTTATTCCTGTGTGCATATATGGTCTGCGATATTCACTAATAAAAAGTCCAACATGCTTCAAATCTTCAATGTGCAAACATGTTCCCATACACAATGAAATCCAAATCTTATACAAAGCCTATGCAATCTCCTCCTTAGTCAGTGCTGTATACCACTTCAATGCCCAGTGTCATAAAAACCTCTCCAGGGATGTTGGACCTCTAGGTTATAGGAGGTCAATATCAGCCTCTTCAGTACTCCAGAGCTCTGATTATAATCACTCCTTTCCACCTCTCAGGGCAGTGACAGGTAAGCCAGCTTTAGCATGGTAATGTCATACAGAAAACCCCATCCTGTGCATTATGTCCAGAGTCTTTGAGGAAGTCCAAGCCAGGTGGTAAGGAACGATTATAATCAAAGCTTTGGAGTGCTGATGAGGCCAATATTGAATGATGGTGATGTCATAAAATGAAAGTGGATGTTGTGACCATAGAACACCTTTAGATAAAAAGTACTCAAAGGACATGTTTTTTTAGAGTCAAACAATATTATTTTTTTACACGGCATAAGATAAAGAGTGGAATTTACTAAGACTGGAGCAGTTATGCATGGCAACTAGTCAGCTTCTAGATTTCATTTTCTAAGCTGAAAGGGTTAGTTCACCTTTTGAGAAAAAAATTAAAAGGCGAACTAGCACCCTACAGCCTTCCCCGTCCCCACTGTACTTACCTCTGTGGGTGATGAGCTGTCAGTGCCCGTGCAGCCAGTGTAATGGTCTGGGGATTTGAAATTCCCGATCTTCTCCCTGTTCTTTCTGTAGGCCTTCTTGGACAGGTCAGAGCAATTCTCTGTGCTGGTGCTGACCAATCAGAATCACTCAGATCTATCCTGGAAGCCCTACAGAAAGAAGGGGTAGAAAAGCGAGGATTTAAAATCTGTCTGCCTCCATGGTCAGCCAGAGGCTCTATTTGCATGTAACGGCTCTACTGATCCTCACCGGTGGCCACCCATGGCTGCCCCTGTGTGCTCCTGTAAATGTTGCCTAACTAAGCAAGCCGAAGGTAGAGGCTGATTGTTTTTTATGCACAGCTGCTCCAGATTTGGCACATTCCCCTCTTTCATTCCCTACAATTTGGCCCATGTTGATTTCTTACTTATTTAATGCATAATGTAAAATGAACAAATATTACAGAAGCAAAATTGACAGGCATTACTACCATTCTTACTTATCTTACTGTGTGACTAAACCCAGGAAGAAAAATGTAAAGTCTTACAGCTCACCTGTCCTTAGATATGATGGTTAAAAAATTCCCTCTATGGTGGTTGCAAGCCAAACCTTTGTTTGCGTCAAGAGATACTGGCGCCGATGCTGTCTGGCACTTCCAGGTGTATTGGAACATGTCGGTTCCTCCCGCCAGCCTCTACATCACTACTGTGTCCTGTAATGACAAAGTAGCAGTTGGGAAGAACCAAGGAACCCAGTGGGGGATCTGCTGTGTGACACACCTTGAAGTGTTGGCGCCAGTTTCTCTTGAAGAAAAGAAGGATGTGACTCTCCATCTACCAAACTGGCATGTTTCACTTTCATGTTCCACAGTTTCCCCAGGTAAATATGTTTTCATAGCCACAGAGTCATTTTAAGAAAATAAGATGGCTGCCATGTTTTAATTACAGAAGCAGGCGACAACTATAACACGAAATCAAGAACAGTATCAGCGGTCATAGTATCCGTGCAGTCACTTTAAAGATGTAAAATGCAGCAACCTTTGTGCATATGTCTGAAATATAGCCGGCTGGGTAGCACTGACACATATTTGATAGATGGAGCTGTCACAGAGCGTTGACCCCAGAAGACTTTATAACAAATTAAGGGGGGATGGGGTGTGAATATGCAGTCCTTATGGCAATGCTGCAAGCTGCCATTTCACAAGCCCACATCTCAACAGGTCAGCTTCCCGATGGAATCTTTCC